TGCATATAGTGTGGTCTCCCTGCACCCCACTCATCTGTAGGCACTTTCCAGAGAAGGGCCAAAGAAGGCAACTGTGGACATCCATGCTCATTGCAGCTTAGGGGCCAGGGTGATCCCAACATCTACTGCTGAATCCTTTGAACCTCAGTAGCTCAAGGTGACTGTGGCAATGTTGTCTCTCTCAGGAGAGAGCTGAGGTGCCAATTGCCAGGCAGATTGAGTTTGAGGGCTCCTCCTGTGCTAGGACCCTCACAACTGGAGTCAACATCTGATGGGGGAAGTCTTCTGTGTATGTGTTTCTCTTATTGGATGATAAATAAAGTACTGTTTGGCCAATGAGGCAGCAAGTTAGGCAGGACTAGGAGTTGGGAAATGTAGAGAAGTGGTGATCTAGGCAGGAAGTGACATAGCAAGGAGACTCATATTTAAGCAAGGACAAACAGGAAGTGTCCCTTTTTCCCCTCGGCTCTTCCTCCAGCGGCACGATGTGATCCACCAGCAAAGGGGGATGCCAATGGAAGGCGACCAATAAGATAAGTCTTATAAAATATAGAGATTTATGATAATTAAGACTGAGCTAACAGATGAGAAGTCCTAGTCATTGACCAATCAGCATTTGTACATAATATAATTCTCTGTGCTTTAATTTGGGCCCTAACTCAGCAGGCAGAACTCGGGTGGCTGGCGGAGACTGCCCATGTGGTGGTAGGGCTCGGGTGGCTTTTGGCAGAAAGATTTATCATAACAAACATCATTCAGAAGTGGGTGGCTTTTAGGTCCCTTAAGGATCCTAGAGATGAGGGATCTGGACAATGGATAAAAGAGGGTCGAGAGAGAAGAAAGGTCATCTACCCTGGGCTAGGGCATGTCCTGTGTATTTATGGGGATTCTGGGAGTTGAGAGTCTGAAACAGGATTCTGGGTGTGAGGATATAAGAAGACCTGGGCAGTGCTCCTTACTTCTACCCCGCCTTCATTCAAAGTGCCCTTCCTGGGACAGTGGCCTCATAGAGTATGAATGCAGGTGTCTATGTAAGCATTATACCTGGGACGATCCGTTGTAGAAATTGTCACCTGTCCTGACACATCCACCTTCACTCCAGGAGGCCCCAGAAGAGTCCATTCATGAAAGCTCTGTTCTGCCATTCTCTCCCTGGCAGGGGCAGGCCTAGCTTTCCCTCCATTTGCCTTGCACTTACTTATTTAATTTCGGTACAGGGGTTTAAATCCAGGCTTCACAAATGCTAAGCAAGCTCTGTATGGCTGAGCTGTGGGCTCTCTCTATGTAGCCTAGGTTGGCTTTGAATCTGTGAGTCCCTGTGTTGGCTGAGATTACAAGCCTGCTTCATCAAGCCTTATTCTCAGTACTTCTTACACTGCCCCAGGCCCTTAGGTCAGCCCTGGCAGGGTGGTATGCTGGCCAGAGATAGGACCATTGCCTACCTGGATTTTATTTTTCACCTTCTGGACTTCCAGGAAGAGGTCCATGTTCTGGGCGGTGACAAATGTGGTTCTGGAGCTTGTGATGTGTGTGTGTGTGTGTGTGTGTGTGTGTGTGTGTGTGTGTGTGTACTATCCATCCTCTCTAGAACTTCTTTCTCCCTCACCCCAGAACCTATACACAAGTGCCACTCCAGGATGAGGGAACACCACTCTCCATACACCCCCTTGAATGCCACCTTAATCCCAGATGAATGTGTCCTATCCAAGAAGTGACCCAAAACTTCCTGCTCTCAAGGCAGCAACTCCCTAAGGACCAGGTTTCCTCTCACTCCCTTGGCCAGGCTCCTCCCTGTTCTCCTAGCTTGGGAACAGCCTCCCCCATACACATACACACACTCTCTCCAGAAGTATAGTAGACAGGAATAGCGTTCTGCCTCAGGAGCTTCCTGGTTCCCAATAGGGTCCTAAGAACCAGAGTGAGAGTCCAGCCCTGGGTGCTACACAGCTGGGGAGAGCCATTGGCCTCTTTAGGAAGTGGCTTCCTGGATCTATGATTACTGGGACCCATCTAAACCTGACAGCTTGAGAGCCTATGGCCAAGTGGTACTTGCAGCATAGTTGTCATAGCAACAGGGACACTAACTGAACTAAATGGAATGGCAGAGCTGGTTGTTTATCTGTCATCAGGTGGTGAGTTGGTCACCATGAAGAGGTGGGTCCTTGGTCCATTTGAGAAATGGACGTGTGAACCCAGTCAGTACCAGACCTCAAGACTAGCAGGGTGTCAGTACAGTGACAATCATGCCTGTCAGCTGCTGAGCCACCAAGGGCCCACCATGGAGTCCCATGCTGTGTCAGGAGCCTCTCCCACACTCATGTTTATTGCTCCATGCATCGTTCTCTGTGCTGGCCCAGGGGCCAAAGGGTCAGGAGAAGATTTAAAAAAAAAAAAAAAAAAAAGCTGATTTGGGCCATGATGAAGGGAGTATAGGTGGGCTCAGCCCAGAGGAGAATGGCTACTGGGCTTGATGAGTCAGTGATATGGCAAGTAAGGGAGCCTGAGTTAAGATGGGGGGGGGGGTGAGCAGTTGTGATTCAGGAGAGTAGGACACTCGAGGTGTACAGCTTGTACAAGAAGGAATAAAGCAAGGGAGAGAGCATCAATGCATGGATGGATGGATGGATGGATGGATGGATGGATGGATGGATGGATGGATGGATGGATGGATGGATGGATGGATGATGGATGGGGTGGTGGGTGGATGAATGGATGGGAAGATTGGTAGATGGATAGATAGTTGAACTGGTAGATGGATGGGTGGTGGATGAATAGCAAACAGGTATGTCTGTGGAACTTTAGGTAGCTCTTTATTACTCCATAGCAAAGTAGTGAAAAGGTGATTCAGGAGGCTCAAGAGACTCAGACGGGTGCTGGATCTACCTTGGGGAGCCATGTCTGATTTCTTCAGTCAGATCTGGAGTTTACTATGACTCTGCCTCCTCTGTAGAGGCCACTGCACATGGTAGGGTGAAGGCAGGAATCTAGCTATTCTCCGAGGGAAGAGAAGCAGTGACCAAACCCGGAGCATGGAGCTGCAGGGACAGGCTGGCTCTGGAGCTGGTGAACAGGTGGAACCAGCAAGCTGAGGGGCTGGGACGTGGGAGGGGAAGGAGAGCAGCAAGTCTTCAGCTCAACGAGTGGGAGGCTGTGGTACCACTCCCAGAGATGGAAACAGGAGGAGGAAGGGGCTTGTTAGAGAAAGATGAGGGTTCAGCTTGGGACATGTGGAGTTGTAGGAGCCAGGAGACACCAATAGAGTTCTGTGGAAAGCAGAGGATGAGTCCATGCTGGTGACACAAGCTGGATGACTGCAGTAAGGATGGCAGCAAAACCTGAGGACAGAATAGGGTACCAGGGGCTGGATCTGAGGAGGGATGTGTGGCAGCAGGATGCCAGAAAAATCATCTTGTGTTATAATGAGTCACCCATACCACAAGGCAGGGCAGGGAGGACAGTGCCTGCTTCAGACCTGACAAGATACAGGCTTAGCAGACTCATGGAGCTGGGCAGGCATAGAGCTAGGATCAGAACCCGGTTTCTCTGGCTCTGAAATCCATTTGGTTGTTTCACTGTACCGTGTTTAGCAAGTAGGGTTAGCAATCCAGATGAACAATAAACCTGCAAGATGGATGAATAAATGATGGTTGGGTAGAGACAGACAGATGGACAGATGGCCACTGTTAGTAGCAAATGATGTAAAAAGATTTCAACCAATAACAAGGAGGCTGGTGAGTGCCTGGGAGCCCATCCACAGACCGGAAACAGCCTGAAACTTTTTATAGTGCTGCAGACTGCCGAGACAAAGGCTCTCCCTCCTCCAGCCTCTGCGAACGACCCTTTAAAGTCCTTTTCTGAGCAAGTGTGGGGTTTTGTCCCCCCTCTTCTTTCCATTCTTTCTTGCGAGCAAAGGCTAGTTTTAGCACAGGGCTTTCTCTATTTTGCTAACACACATGATGAGTAAGATGGCCTCCAAGTCAGCACTTTCCAATTTTAAAAGATGCTAAAAATTGATCTTTGAAGCCAGGCTTCCTGCCCACCACCATCAGAGGGCCTGGGGCGTCTGGAGAGGACAAAGGCCAGCAGGGAGATGGTGCCTCCTGCAAAGCTGGGTCCTGAAAAGCGGGAAGCCATAGGACAGGAGCAGGCGCCAGCCTGTGCCCAGCTGGCCTCCTGATGTCAGGGCCCAGAAAGTGGCCAAGAACTTCAGGCATGTGCTTAGCAAATGTTTGGTGAGTGAATGGGTGAGTGTCATGTGCTTTGCTTTGCAACACACATCCATTAACCACACTGAGAAAACCAGCACATAGCAAGGTAGAGCCTGCAGGTAAAAATCAAAATAGGCTAGAGGAGATACAAGCACATGGCTAGCTGCCTTTTGTGTGCCAGGCACTGTGTTAAGCATCTCTTGAAGGGTGCTTCACTCAGTCCTTCCAGAACTCATACAAGGGAGGTACCACTGCTGTCCCCATCTTTCAGAGAAGCAAAGTAAAGCTGAGATGAGAAAGGGAGGTACCCGAAGTCACTCAAGGCTTGTTGTTGGCACTAAGGTTTTACTACAATTCCAAAACACCTCAAAAGCTATGAATTGTGAGCTCAAAGGATATCTCAGGGTACTGATTGTCAAGGGACTAGAAAATTCCAAGTCTTTTGCAGGGTGTGGCTGGCTTAGGTCCTGCCTCTGTCATCCTCCTCTGGCCTCAGTTTCCCTGTAGGTAAAAATGAAAAAGAAGATTCAAGATAGCCTAGTTCCTTGGTGTAGATGGAGCAGGGAGACTGTGGCATGCTATCTTACCTCAGAATCACTCATGAAACCAGAGACAGTGACCACAGATCAGCCAAGAGTGACGTAGATAGTTTCTGGGGGTGCACATCGCAAGGGATCTTCACCTTCCTCCCTGTGGGCAGAGCTCTTGGCTGCAAGTCTGGGCATAGAAATGTCCCCTGGTGCTGTCACTGAGAATGTCATCACTCACCTTCACACCCTCTTCTGTCCACAGGGGAATGATGTGCGGATCATCCTTGGCCAGTTTGACCAGCACATGGCAGCGAAAGTCTTCTGTTGTGTAAGTGAGATTCCCTCTAGACCATATGAGCCCTGGGTTCACTGAGCATCTCAGCCTGGAATCAGGCTTCCTGTGATCAGGGAGGGGCCCTGGGGTGCTGGGGATGCTACAACAGCTCTGGGGCTTTTCTGAGTCAGTGCAGGACACTCCATACTCCCCCCAAGGGTCTCAGGCCCCTCTCTGCCCTGCAGGCAAGTTCAAAGCTGGCAGCCGAGGACACACTGCCTACTCTGAGGAAGGTGTACCAAGTAGGTGGCCAAGTGTTTTTATACCTTGTCCAACTTACCCTGTTCAGTAGCTGTGTGTGAGAGAGGTAAGGTGGCTTCTCTAGTGTCCTCAGCCACCTTGTAAGTGGAGCCCTGAATCCTGGTGCAATCTACCCAGGACAATCTTACATATGTGTTAGGGGTTCCACCCAGGAGCCATGTCTGTTTCCATGGTTGTGTTTGGCTCTCCTTCCTTCCTTCAGGTCAGGAGGGAAGTCCACCAAGTGACATCCCAGTTACGTGAGTCAGCATCTACCCCTGGCCTTTCTGAATAAGGATATTCTTGGTGTGATCACTAGGGAAGGGCCACAGTTCTCTATTCTCTTGCCCCTTTTTTGTTCATAACTTGACTGAGGTATGAACAACAGGCATGTAGGAACTGTAAATTCATCATGACAGAGCCAAGGTGGGAAGAATGGAGGATGATGGAGGAACCCAGCAGGCCCAGGAGTGACAGAGGAGGGTGGCTAGAAGCCAAGGACACACAGGTTACCCTAGCCTGGGAAGTTGAAGCATCCCAGGAGGAGACTGAGGAGGTGATGATGAGAGGCGATGCTGGAGTCAGGTGACCACCTGAGGCTTCCATGGCTGATACTCTGGCATTGGGTCCCTACAGCTTCAGTGCACCCTGAAAAAAAGAGAGCAGTTACCCTCCCTCACTAGCTCACAGAGGACATCAACTGGGACAACACTCTTTTCATGAAGCCTGAGCCCCAGCCCCCAAGGCCTCCTGCTCCTCCCTTTTGAAGGCAGGCATGACGAAAGGTAACTGTGGGAGGGGACTCCATGGGGGCCTGAACACTGGGATCCTGAGGAGCGACAAGATGCCTGCAGTGTCCAAACCTGAAGAAGAAGCTCAGAGTAGGCCAGCATTGACTCAACAAGTGTCTCCCCTGGGAGAACCCAGAAATGGATTCTTTGAATGAGCAAGCAAGCTCCTGCATGAGGAGGCCCTGGAAAGAGGCTGGACTTGACCCCCACCCACCAATTTCCCTAGACCTTTGGAAGCCTTAGTGCCCATCAAGAAAGAAATCAAAGGACTCTGGGAGAAAGTGATGAATGAAAGAACCTGGCTACAGGCCCAGGGTGGCCAGTTCCTGTGTGCTGTGAACACACACAGCAGCCTTGTGCACTGGCTCCAACTCAAAGCCCTGTGTGGCTGAGGCCCTTCTTTGTGCTGGGCCAGAGAGAAGTGGTTCCAGGAGCCCTGGCATTTGTTTTTGGGCCTTCCAGCTGGGTCTCAGGCCACAGGCCCAGGCTGGGCTCCATTCCACTTCATCTCCCTCCTCCTGCCCTGTCTGTGCTCTGGAGAAATCTCCATGCTAACAACAAGGATTTCCTTGGCTGGTTGCTCATCCACTGAGGAGGTTCTTAGAACTTTGGGTTGGACCCTCAAGGACAAATACATGGTCTGTGCCTCTTGGGTACCAATGGCCTGAGAGAGTCTACCAATGTCCTCAACCCTCAATAGAAAGCACAGCTGATAGACAGGGTGCCATCTCAGAGCAGAAACCTAGTCCTGGAGTGGGGGGATAGGGAGGCAAACAGTCACCAGCACAACTTTGGCAGCCGACATGGCAGACTATGGCAGAGGTAAGCAGCAGCCTGTTGTGCCCATGAGCTGGGAGCAAGCAAGCCCTGGGCAGTACTGGCATTAGCTGAGGTGCAGTATCCATGATTCCCCTCTGCCAGCTGTGTGTTCTTAGGAAGGTCGCTGAACATCTCCGGCCTCAGCTGCCTCTCATCTAAAATGTGAGCAACAATGGGTGTGTGGCTTTTAACTGAAGCTTTTAACTGTGGCTTTTAACTGAGTGGGGGCCTTGCCTCAGGTGTTCCTCTGCTGTCATTATTGTGGCTGGGACCTTGCAGAAAAGGGAGGTATTCCTTTTCATGGGAAGTGGGGAAGGCAAAGGGAGACCTAATAAAAGGTGAAAATTGGATTTTGTTAAAAGAAACGTGCATTCCCATCACCAGGGAATGCATGGAGCCAGGGTGCTTGAGGAAGCAGGGAAACTGTGTGTTTGACAGTACTGCACAGCCACTGTTGAGCATAGTTCGTCATCAATGAAGTCAGGACAGGACCTCAAACAGGGCAGGAACTTGGGGTCAGGAGCTGATGCAGAGGCCATGAAGGAGTGTTGCTTTCTGGCTTGCTCCTTATGGCTTGCTCAGCCTGCTTTCTTATAGAACCCAGGACCACCAGCCCAGGGATAACACCACCCACAATGGGCTGACCCTCCCACATCAATCATTGATTAAGAAAATGCCCTGCAGGCTTGCCTGCAGCCTGGTGTTATGACAGCATTTTCTTACTTACCATTCTGTCCTCTCAGAAAACTTTAGCTGGTGTCAAGTTGACATAAACTATTCAGCACAGGTATTCTCTGTATACTGGCCCTGGCTTAGTCCTGGAAGTCCTAGGAAAACAGGCACAGCCCCACCCTCTATCTGGTAAAGGACACAGACCAATGTCCCACCCACAAAATGCTCATATCCCACAATGTGGCTCTTCACACTGGCACTAGCACCGAAGCCCGGCACATGACCACTCCCACCTGACAGTGGCTGGTGTGACTGAGCCTGGCCAATCCTTCCTGTGAGCCTGTCCCGTGGATACTTGATCCCACTCATGGCGCTGCTTGGCATATGTGCCTCAAGGCTCTCCACCGAAAAAGGCAGGGGACTTGGGTACAGGCAATAAGGAGCTGAAATGAGCAGGACTTTTGTAGAATAATAAGGGGCAAGGACCTCATGACCCCTGGGTGCCCTGAGGAGAAAGGATGGCAGAGAAGACGACAGGAGGGTCGGTCAGTGGCTGAGAGCTAGGACAGCGTGGTAGAAAGGGCTCAGGCCATGAACACCGGCACTGCCTTCCCCGGGGACCAGGCTCCTCAAGGAGCAACATAGAGAGACTGAGGGGTCTCCACACACAGCTACCCTGACCCTGCTGCCTGATGTACATCGTGCAGCCCACAGCCCGGGTGCTGGTAACAATCCGCTAATGTCAGAACCGGGCCTTGCACTGCTCCCTTGTTCCCGATGCCTCTCTCCAGTAAACAAGGGGGCCTTCAAGATCAAGTAAGCTTCCAGAAAGAGGTTTGGTTTTGCCGAAAGAAGGTGACCCTAGAATCTTGCGCCTTTTCCTCAGTAGCTGACTCACCTCTAGCTGGGCAGTCTCCATTGGCACAGGGAGGTAACAGCACACTCCCCATAGGCTAGCCATGCCCCAGTTAGTCTGTGTGCATGGGATCCCCACAGGTGGCAGACAAGAGGCTGGACTCACACAGGACTGATAGAGTGACTGAGGTTTGGGGGACTTCCTTCTGTTCATAAGTCTAGTCCCTCCCAGAATGATGGTACCCCTTGTCATCCCCGATGAACTCTGGGATCACAAGTTCAAGACCAGCCCAGGCTACACAGTGAGACTCTGTCTCAAAAACAAAACACCCAAGTCTTGTTCTCAGTCAGAACCCTGCATTATCTTCCTGTAAACAATGTTTCTGAAGCTGAACCCTGCTCATCAGAGGGCCCCCAGCTGCTGCTTGCTTTTGTCCAGCTGTGAATTTGTTATGTGTGTGAAAGATGGGTTTTCTGTGCCCACCGCCAAAACTCTGGCTGGGGCACAGTTAGAGTGTAGTCTCTCGAAAACTGAACTGAGGTTTCATCATTAGAAGAAGTACGGTATCTGGGGTTGGGGGTGGGGGCGTTGAGATTCCGTTAACTCCATAGAGAAGGCAGCTGAATGTAGTCACCCTACCGCAAACAGCTTTGAGAACCCTGTTGTAGAGAGGATGTTGGTACACACCTATTGCTCTGATGGCATCCTTGGTGTATAAGGCGAAAGACCAGAAAGGCTATGCTTCTTCCTCGTGGGTGATGAGAACTTTTGTGAAAACCTGTGCCCTTTTCTCTTGGGTCACCAGGAAGTTCGTGGTGAAGCACACTGCTCTTATGTTCCCTGCCAGAACCTTCCACCTGCTTCTCTATGAGCAGTTCCCTCTCCCTCCAGCAAACAGAGTCCCTAGCTTCTCCAGGTCTTGGGCCTTCCTATTTATTTGGGTCTGTTTTATTCTGCCTGGTGTTCAATCACTGTCTGAGGTCCTTAGAATGATAGAGGGAGAGTGCCAGCAGAGGTCTGCACACCCTCTGGGAGGAGGAAGTATGCCCCCCCCCTTCTGGCATCCTAAGCCCTGCTGATCCTGAATCTCTCTCTGCCCATCTCCCACAGGCCTTTGAGGAGAGCATGTTCGGCAGTAAGTACCAGTGGATCATCCCAGGCTGGTACGAGCCTGCATGGTGGGAACAGGTGCACGTGGAGGCCAACTCCTCACGCTGCCTGCGCAGGAGCCTCCTGGCCGCCATGGAGGGCTACATCGGAGTGGACTTTGAGCCCCTGAGCTCCAAACAGATCAAGACCATCTCAGGGAAGGTCAGTGTTGAGGTTCACCCCTCCAGGCCAACCTGGATTATTCTGTTGGTAGAAGTTGACACTGTGTCTCAGGGTTTCTGTGTGCTCTGAGCAAGTCACTTGACCTCTCTGAGCAGCAACACTTGGAAAAGAGGGCAGGTGGCTGCCTGTCCATCCAGAAAGCTTGAGGATCCAGCAAGATAGGGATGCTGGGTGGGGTATACAACGTGAACGTGGATGCTTACAAACCTAAGAAGTGAAGCCTCAACTTGTGTGATACCAACCACAGTCAGAGTCCCTTCCTGAGCTCCTCCAGCTTGGAACAGCCTAGCCCTCTTCTCTCCTCCTCTCCCCTACGTGTGTGTGTGTGTGTGTGTGTGTGTGTGTGTGTGTCCCTCCCTCCCTCCCTCTCTCCTCATACCCAGCTCACTGATGCTTCCCTAGGTTAGGTGGTGCCCACATACTTGGGTGACATGCTGCAGGCTAGGCAGCTGGGGCTGGGCCCAGCCATGCTTCTCCCCTGGGCGAGCCTCCACCCCCTCCCCCAAGGCTCGCAGGGTTGGTGGTGAGCAGCACAGTACAGCTGGCATCCTAGTGTTGGAAGCAGGACCTTTCTCAAGGAACCCCAGTCCTTGGAGGTGGAAACTTCATCATTAGGGTCATGCCCCTGCCTTGGTGCCTCACAGGGCTGGCAATATGCAAACTCCCACCGATTCTTTCAGAATGAGAGAGATGGCCACAGCTGACCCTACTGTCACACACCTGTGATCCTGGCACTCAGGAGTGCTAGGCCAAACTAAACTACACAAGTGTTTCAGGCTAGCCCAGGCTACATTAATAAGATCTTATCTTTTTTTAAAAAAAAAAAAAGATAGAATTATCAAAAGCAAGAGGCCACAACCCAGGTGACCGTGAGATCCACCATCCCACCTCTGAGCAGCTACAAATCCCACACAGTGTGGTGTGTGCCTTTCCCACACCCTCTGTGCCCAGAGCTTGGTTTTGTTTGTTTGTTTGTTCATTTGTTTTTTTAAGACAGGGTTTCACTGTGTAGCCCTAGCTGGCCTGGAATTCATTGTGTAGACCAGGCTGACCCTTAAACTCACAGAGATTCATTCACCTGCCTCTACTCTCAAGTTCTGAAATTAAAGGCATGTGCCACCATGGCCACTGTATGCCAAGAGTTTCCCCCTTCATTCAACCGCAGGCTCTTACAGACCCAGTCCATTTCCTGGGGAAGCTTCATAACCAAGTATAGATAAATGTTTTTATTCATTATTTAATCCCAATCAGAGCCACCTCTCCACAGTGATTTATTGGTTTGTCAAAAAACTAGCAAATCATTAGGACGGGTTTTGTAAACAGCTCCTTAGATCATGTTGGCACCTGGCTAGAAAATGCTGGAAGAAATATTTTCCTATCGAAATCGATGTGCACAGAAAAAAAAATAAGTGAGACATTGAGGAATGTACAGAAATAACTCTCATTTGGGTAAATGTTATTTTTATGGGTGTCAAAGTTTACAAGTTATTAAGAGTCTTGGATCCAGAGTATACTATATTTTAACTTTAAAATAGTGAAGTTTGAGAAAAATGCAAAAACTAGGGGGAAAAAATCCCAGAGGATATTAACCAAACCAAGCCTTAGGCAATGAAAGCCATAAAGGTCCACAGGAGCCCTGTGACACTAAGTGGAGTGGCTGATGCCCCAGAAGGGTCTTGATGCCATCTGAAAGCATGACATCATCACCCAGGGCAGGAGTCTAGCAGCAGAACCCGAAGCAGAAGCCCTGGGGAGTGGTGATGACTGGTTTGTTCCCCGGGCTCCCTTAGCCTGCTTTCTTATCCAACCCAGGACCACTTGCCAGGGGCAGCACTACCCACAGTAGACTGCCCCCGCCCCCACATACACAAATCAATCATCAACCAAGAAAATCACCACAGACTCCCCTACAGACTAATCTGATGGAGGCATTTTCTTAACTGAAGTTCTCTCTTTCCAGATAGCCTGAGCTTATATCAGGTTGACAAAAAGCCAAACAGCACACCTATGGAGAGGCTGCTGTGCCCAGTGGGATTGAGGGAACAGGCAGCAAGTCCTCAGCTACAGGAAGAGGCCCTTGAAAACTAACACTTCTCATTGCCACAGAGATGGGAAGTGATGGCAGGGCTGGGAGGCTTTGGGGTGGGTCACCATGCCCACTCTGCTCCATGGCAGGGAAGGACATGAAAAGGCAGGAGAATCCAAGGCAGCCTCGCAATGCTAAGCCCCATCCCCTACAGTCTCTAGGTGCCCCTCCCATGGGAGGCAATGCAGGGCGGAGGACCGGGCTCAGAAGGAAGAGCTTGGTGGCCTGTGGAGACACACTGGCTAGATCTGAATCCTGACAAGGCAGGAGGCTTTGCCCATAGCAACATTCTTATCTCCCCTCCTCCTGGTACCCAGTAACAGCCCTCTGACTTTAAGCAGGTGGATGGCCACCCTTTGAAAAATGAACATTCCCTAGTTTCTCAAGCTAGCTGTGGTCAGGGTTCTCCCATGGCTGACCAATGAGATAAGTGTTCTCAGACTTCCAGAAAGCCCACCAGGGAGTGATTCTATCTTCTGTGTAGGTTGGAGCTTGAATGAGTTAACCGGCACTCTGGCAACCACCTAGGAGTGTAGCATGAAAAGGAAACTCCATTCTAGACTTTGACATTAGTAGAGATAGGAGCCAGGCCTCTGAGCCCGTGGTGAGGCTGTCCGGGAAGCCTACAGGTGAGATTTGCAGGACACAAGCCTGAGCCATCTCATGGAAGTCACGGACAGCTTGTTTGCTGTTGTGTGGTGAGCCTATGATCAACAGAGGGTGAGTCATTTAACCTCCCCTCTTTTCTTTCTTTTTTTTTCTTCACCTGTTAGCTCTGGGATTCAGGAGAATTGGTTTATTGAGTTTTTCTACATGAACAATTGTGTTATCTATAAATATGAACAATATTAATTTTTCCTTCCAGCTGCTGTAAGTTTTATTTTGGTTTCTTGCTTTTTTATTTTTAATTGTTTTATTTTAATTAGAAAGAAGATTATTTTACATGTCAATCCCAGGTCCCTCTCCCTCCCCTGCCCCCCCCAACTAACCCCCTACCTATCCCATACACTTTCTGCTCCCCAGGGAGGGTGAGGCCTTCCATAGGGGGTCTCCAGAGTCTGCCATATCCTTTGGGATAGGGCCGAGGCCCACCCCCTTGTGTCTAGGCTCAGGGAGTATCCCTCCTTAGGGGATGGGCTCCCAAAGTCCATTCCTATGCTAGGGATAAGTACTGATCTACTACAAGGGGCCCCATAGATTTCTGAGGCGTCCTCACTGACACCCACATTCAGGAGATCTGGATCAGTCCCATGCTGGTTTCCCAGCTATCAGTCTGGGGACCAAGAGCTCTCCCTTCCTCCCCTCTTTTCTTACCTGCAGTACTGGTGACGATGCCTCTTCCATAGTGAAGACATATGAGGCAGCACAGTGGGAATGTCTTAGTTTGCACCCAACACACAGAAGGTACTCCTTAACATTCGGGATGAACACTGGGGCACACGGTTCATGGGGAAGAGCTCACAGCCAGAATCGTGGAGTAAGGGCAATGAGACTGCTATAGATTTTCCGGACAGTACGAAGTTATCCTTATGTCCTTCCCAGCCAACACCACTACCCTTGGCAGCCCCTCTCTGACTCCTTTGCCCTACAGACAGCTGCTCTTGGCTTTGAGTATGTGAAGTCTTGTGGACTTTTCCTCTTTCCCATAACACATATGAGTTAGTGATACCAAAGGTGTTCCTTGTTCAGTGTTGCATAGTATTCCACGATATGGCCCTCAAATCCCCCCCCCCATCCCACCTTGAGCAGACCTGTGGGCAGCTCAGTTCGGGAGTCTTACTACTGTGCATCCTGAGTGGATATGTGCTTTTGATGTCCCTCACCTGCAGCAAGTGCTCTTAACTTTTCTGTATTGCTTGACTGCGTCATCTGCTTACACACCCTGCACACAGGCATATTCTGGTTGTTATTGGGATTACACTGACAATAAATCAAAGTCTGGGAAATGTACTTGTTAGTCATAGAATTGTTCAGTCTAGGAATCCTGTGATTTTGCCTTTTTCTCTCTCGTTTCTGAGAACTGCTTTGTGCTTCTCTGGGTGGGGCTCTTGTGTGCATTTTTTCTGATTTGCTCCTGTCTATCTGCTGTGCTGTGATGGATATTTGCTCACCCTGGTCTTGGGTGTGGAGTCTGGTGGAACTTCTGAGTCACAGAATGGGCATCTGTTGGCTCTTGCAGACACTGCCAAGCAGCTCTTTAAAGTGGATCCACTAACTTACACACCCACCAGCAGTGAGGGGGACTTCCACTCTGTGCACAGGTTTGTCGGCACTTGGTGCTGTCAGCTTTTTAATTTTAGCCAAGCTAGTGGGTGGGACGTGGCATCCCATTTTAGTTTTGCTTTGCACATCCCTGACTGCTGACAAAATTGGACATTCTCTCGTCTTTTTTATATGTGTGTGTTCAAGCACCTGTGTGTCGGGGCGGGGGGGAGGGGGTGCACATGGAATTAAGGGGACAACTTCAGGGGTATGTTACCCACCTCATTTGAGGCAGGGTCTCCTGGGGGCCCGTGGGGTTCACCAAATAGGATAGACTATCTGGCCAACAGGATTGCCCGCCTCTGCCTCCTCAGGACTGGGATTACAAGTAGGCATCACCACATCCTAGATTTTATGTAGGTCCTGGGGATCAAACTCAGGTCCCTACGCTTGCACAGCAAGCAGTCTTACCAAGCTAGCACCACCCATTCTCTCCTACCTTTTTGGTTTGTTTTGTTTTGGGCCTCTTTTGTTATTGACTTTTGGGTCTTTCACCCACTTTTCTTTCTTTTTTTTTTTCAACTTTGTTTTATTTGAATTAGAAACAGGATTGTTTTACATGACAATCCCAGTTCCCTTCTCCCACCCGTCCTCCCCTACCAACCCCCCCAACTAAAACCCTACCTATCAC